ATGATGAACATATTTTGTACTGTACTATGACTGTATGAAATTACATCATATGTACTTGCATTTCAATCTGAATCTGATTGTACTGGACTGAACTGTACTTGTATTTCTGCTTGTCTTGAAATGTATTGATGACTTCCACTGAGAATCGCCACTGTATGAATGTACTCAACTAAATAGCATTTTTAATTTGTGCACTTTACAAATGCACGTGATGTCGCCCTATGCAGTGGAGCCGGGGTCCCACCCTGGAGCCGAGCCTGTGCTCGGGACTTGTCGGAGAGCGCCTGGTGACCGAGTTGCTCCTTGCTGGAGCTGGAGGGACTATGCCTCTCGGCTGGCCTGGGAACTCCTTAGGTTTGAGCCGGAGGTGTCTGGACAGAGGGAAGTCTGGGTGCCTCTACTGAGTCTACTGAGCCCCGCGACCTGGTCCCGGATGAAGCGGAAGACGATAATTATGCGTACAATTTTCCACTCTTTGATGTTTGATGCAAAACAAACATCAAGGGAATGTCGAAACCAGGTCCTGGACTCCCAGCCGGGGATCCTTCTGGATGGAGTTTGTATGTTCTCCCCGTGTATGTGTGGGTTCTCACCAGGTACTCCGGCTTCCCCCCACAGTCCAAAAACATGACTGTTAGGTGAGAAGGAATGTGTGCATGGTTGTTTTTCCTGCATGTCTCTGTGTTGTGTTGCCCTGCGATGGATTGGCGACCTGTTCAGGGTGTACCCTGCCTCTCGCCCGTAGACTGCGGGAGATAGGCACCAGCTCCCCCATGACCCACTATGGAATAAATGGTATAAAAGATGAATGAATGAATGATGTTTGATGCTCCTTGGGACATGACCAGGTTTAAAGAGTGCGCATAACAATGTATGAAGAGAGCCTGGGGAAGTGCATCTTTTAAGCGTGCCTTCACTCCATTTAGCCCCAATGCCATCACAGCTGCTCCATTGTAACATTAGTATGCACAAAATTTCCTGACAGGATTAAAATGTATTTGGATTAGAAAACAAAAACTAATCGGATTATATCGTTTATATGGACATAAGTAATCTGAATAAAACGGCCAATTGGACTAAAAATGTGTCATGTAAACTTGCCGATCGGAATATTCTGTTAGCATCTAGCCAGAGCGACTAGCCACTCAAGGCGGAAATACATCACGTTGACACGAGGTGCCCATGTGCACTCAGGTCATTTTGCCTCATTCAGAATAACTTGATCCTGTCAAGCGTTTACATGCATGCTGATCAGATTGTCAATCGGCATAAACCACCCCTCTCAATCGGATTACAATTTTATTCCAATCCTGCCGAATCGATCAGAATAGTCCGACTGACATGTTTACATGAGACATTTTTAGTCAAATCGTCCGTTTATTCCGATTACATGTAAATGTAACTACTGAGCCATTAACTTAGCTTTGCAGTAGTAGTTGTCCAGTAAATCAAAAACAAGTCCTGCTAGATCCTGTGCTCGTTTCTTCTCGGTAACGTCCTCAAATTTGAGTAATCTTTATTTCACCCCCATTTCAGTCACATACCTTATGACAGAGCTGTGCCACATTACTGAAATCATTGGTTTCATCTATCATTACCGTGACAAACTTTGTCTGTTTAATCTCGTCTGCAATGTGCTCATTTAGCACCTCAGCCACTACATCGATAAAGTCATTTTGAATTTTCCCCGATGTGCCTGTAAAAACAGTGGCTATGTCAAGATGTTGTAAGTCCCTGTCATGGTCTGCCAGCAGTGTCAATAATTCCAAACAATTCCCATGGTTTAGGGACTCTTTTGATTCATCGTGTCCCCTTAAAGACACTTCTTGATGTCCCAAAAAGACGACACAGTCAAAAGGATGCGTCAAGATGTAGCGGTTCTTCTCGCCCCTTTTGTTGTGAACGCTGATCTCCCATTTTCTGTGTTCATCCAGCTGCAAATCCACTTGATATTCACCAAATGTTTTCAAATGCACACACATAATATGCCTCTCAGAACTTTGGTGTTTAAGCTCTGCCTTTGTTAAGCTGTTCAAACTGCTAAAACCACTGTAATTCCATGTCCCTTTGTTGGAGTTGAAAAGTAAACGTGGCCAGCAAAATAGCTTGTTGTGCTCGGTGCTAGCTGTTAGCCACTCATAACACTCATAGTTAGTGTTTAAAATGCCTTATAAAGTTCTTACTGGCTTGTGTTAGTGAATCCAGGTTTGGTGTGGCTTTTCCATTTTTAATTATTTCTTTTTTATCTGTGAAAGAGTGCCTTGAAAAAGGCAATTTTAATAGGTCAGCAATGGGGTCAACCAGAGTTGTGGCTGCCAATTTTCTTAAATATAATTTTCACATGCAGGGAATACAGGGTGTTGGTCTAGACCAGGGGGCCCCAAACCACAGACACCTGTCCAAAACCAGACCCAGAGAGTGTTTTATCCTAACTGCAAAGCATTTTCTCAGTTACTATGTAGATATAGACATTTTTTTCCTGCCGGCTGCTGCGTCTGACGTTTGAACAGGCACGACAGGCAGCCATGTGGATTGGAGACATTCTGGTCCACACGCCAAGCCAGCTGGTGGTGGTAATGCACCACATCGTTGTATGCCAACCACCAAAAAACGGCAAGAAGAAGAAGCTATGCAGGGTCCTTGATTGCAGGTTGTTAATGCCCCTCTTCCACTGGCTCGTTGTAGGCGGCGCGGTTCCGCTTCACTTGGTTTCACACTACTAAATACAGTACATATAAAGCATCACAACAGCGAGCATAGTGGTGTTTCCTGCGAGTACAATGGATTTCTGAAAAACACTGAAAACATTTCACTTACTGGGAAAAGATCAAAGAGTGCATGGAAGCTGTGGCATAAACATTTTTAGATAAAAAGAACAACAACTTAAGGAAAAGGTTAAGCAAATTGCCATGAATGCCACAAGCACAACAAGGAGAGCAGAATTGTTATACCAAGATGTACAGAGCCAGCTCGACTGTTCCATTCAAAGTGCGTTTAATATTGGTACTTAAATTTGATTGCACTTTAGCAGATGATTTAATGGGCATATGAATAATTAATCAGTAAACAAAAAACAGAAAACAAAAACTTTAGTGTTAAAAATTATTTCCTTTCCTTTTTATTTAACATTTAATTGTCAGTTGATTTAAAATGTTCAGACAAAGTGTTTGGATGATGGAGGTATTGGACCTTCTGCTATTTTAGTTGGGGACCCAGGCCTGGGGACGCACCGTCATTATATGTCAAATTTTGATTGGCTGATAATTGTGTCATGCCAGCTAGTGTGGCCAGTGTGGCCTTCCATCAAAAGGGTAGCTGTATCTATACAACAGGTCCTGAGGAGGAGCAGCTCGCCAGGGGCACTTAGGGCACTTTTTGAGTAGGAAATTAGAGTTAAACCTTAATAATACCAATATAAGCAACTCAATTGTAGACTACATAGATTACAAGGGGCGATGGAAACGGGCCTACCACTGAATAGTAGTAGGGGTTTGTCCTGTAACCAGTGGGTTGCCGGTTCGAACCCCCACTCTGTCTAAGTCGTTGTGTCCTTGGGCATAACATTTCACCCACCTTGCCTGCTGATGGTGATCAGAGGGCTCAGTGGTGCTTGTGTATGGCAGCCTCACTTCTGTCAGTGTTCCCCAGGGCAGCTGTGGCTACATTGTAGCTTACCACTGTCAGTGTGTGAACGTGTGTATAAAAGGGTGGATGACTTATTGTAGTATAAAGCGCTTTGGGGTCTGTGGAGACTTGATAAAGCACTATACAAGTGCAGGCCATTTGCCATTAACACAAATAAATGACGGACAAATTAACCACCACTGTTGTTGGCTTTTGTTTCAATAAATTGGTTGAGTTGAGGAAACCAACATTAAATGGTCTAATTTCATGATGTATCACCCTGGTGTGAACTTTCCATATATTTCACTCAAAAGCCAAATATCCCTAACTTTCTTTGAGAACTGTAAAACCCAGGCAACACTTATTCATGTCTTTGCCTTTATCAGTCCTTCTCTTCCTGGTCTACCCCTTCTGGCAAGATTCTACAAGCTTTCTCCTCATCCTGTACCATAATGCTGCTTAAAACAAAATTCCTTGCACCTGCGTTTGTTGGCTGGAACTTGTACCTTGAACACAGTGCTGAAATAATCCCTAAAGAAAACCTAGCCTTTAAAAAGGGATAAAATAAAAGAAAGAACAAAACATAGCTTCAGGACCCTTGTAGCAGTGCTTGGCATGTTTTCTCCTATGAGGCAGCATATATCCGGTGCTATTAGGAGCTTTGTTGAGGTGGGTAGTGACTAATTACATTTACTCTGTTACATTTAGTTGAGTAACTTTTTGAAAGATTTAACCTTCTAGGAGTAATTTTGCTGCACCATACTTTTTACTTCTACTTGAGAGATGCCATTTTGCTATTCTACCAGCTTCTATTTACTTCACTGAATGAATAATAAGCATTTTTTAAGCAGAAATGCACCAGACAGAGAAACAATTTGTGTTACAATGAGACTTCTTGTTTGTACAGTTGTTCTGATGTAATTATCTGCTAAGCCACTTGAGGATCAAGTGAATATACAGTACAGAATATACAGTAAACAACATATACTATGATTGGAAGCACTTTGCTCTGTTCAAACAACTACTGTAAGTCTTGGTTTCAAAAGCTTTATGTTGTGAAAAAGTGCAATTCAGAAAGGTGTGTTCCTTCTGCCTGAATGTCAGTCATTTTCTACTGCTTATTCCATAGTGGGTCGTGGGGAAGCTGGTGCTTATCTCCAGCAGTCTATGGGCGGGAGGCGGGGTACACCCTGGACAGGTCGCCAGTCCATTGCAGGGCAACACACAAACAACCATGCACACCCATTCATACACCTATGGGCAATTTAGAGAGACCAATTAACCTGACAGGCATGTCTTTGGACTGTGGGAGGAAGCCGGAGTGCCCGGTGAGAACCCACACATGCACGGGGACAACATGCAAACTCCAGTCAGAAAGACCCGCGGATGGGAATCGAACCCAGGACTTTATTGCTGCAAAGCAACAGTGCTACCAACCGCACCACCGTGCAGCCCTGCCTGAATGATATTCACCTATCTTTGAGCTTTTAGTCTGTCTCTGTCCATCATTTTTACATATTAAATGATCATGATCAAACAGTTCCTTAGTATTCGAGTACTTGAAGTAGTGCTACTCTTCCTTAAGTACAAATTTGGCTACTCTACGCACCTCTGCCTAAAGCTCACATAGGGTTTTGAAAAATGCTAAACAAGGCCAACTCAAAACTCTTTTCTAGTGTGGAGTTCGTTTTTACGTTCTCTGATTTGATTTGTGGTGGTTTAGAATTGTTTTTTTTTCTGATTATGATTAACCAGATTTTTAGAAAATGAAGGGAACATGAAATTTTTTCAAAAGGAAAAGGTTAAGTCAAGCTTATATTTTTTAACAATATAACATATATAATTCACATCTGTTTGTTTTTTGGATTTCTGATGAATAGCAAACCAAATGAAAGTGGTATGAACAGACCAAGGTGCAAGAACTCCGGCAGCAGAAACTCATAAATGCATGATTATCAATCCTATTCTAGTATGAATCACCATATTAAACTGATTTTCGTTGTTATTTTTATTCCTGTTTTTATTGTACAACACTGGACAACAAAACTATAGAAATTATGTAAGGAGAAAAGAGACGTGAACAAACCTCAGATTTGTAAGCTTTGCAAATTAAAAGTAACAAAATTGCCTTCTGGTCTTTCCTGCAGTAGTAGCTCTCTACTATTGAAAACAAAACAAATGCATTCGAGAAGTGAAAAAACAATAATGTAAGATAGCAGTGCTGTAGCTGGCAAAAAAATAATTGAGCATAAAGTGATTAGGATCAGTTGATCTATGCATAATTTCTGTCTTTAAACAGGAATTTGACATTTAATAAAATTCACTATTTTAGAGTTATTTTTCAACATTTTTTAAAGTTTTTAAAGGAAACAGCTTTAGATTCCAAGTAAACGTAGCTACTGAGCCACTACATAGAACTAATTTGGTAATCAAGGAGACCAGCTATATGTATGTACAGTATAAAATTTTCAAAAAGGCTTAGCTGTCTTTGTAATAATCCCTCGTACTTAGTATGCATATAGTGACGGTGGAAAGGAAAACTTCCTTTTGACATTAAGAAACCTTCAGCAAAACTGGCTCAGTATAAGGGGTGGAGGTTGAGCTAGACTTTTCATTGTGTGTGACTGACAGAAAAATCCTGTCATAATCTATTTTAACCAGTTGCTTATTTTTTAAATGATAATAACAGCATTTATTTTATTTTTTATTACTTAATTTTCAGTCAGAACAAGTTGAGCAGAGAATCCACATCATCCAGATGAAAACATTTAACCTTTTCTCAGCAGTAACAAGAGTCACTGACTGTGGTCCCAGTAACTACATATAAAAAATGAAATTAATGACTACACGGATCACCTGTTGTGGCCTGAATGCACATTCTCACAGCTTCTTCCTAGTCCGCATGGACAGGTTGTACGTCTTGAGTTGCCGCACAAATTGCAGTCTCTGCTGGGCCTTTTTCGTAAGATTGTATATGTGTGAGAATCCCAAGAAAGGGAGGTTTCTAGGAACCAGAAGTGATTCACAGTCGACACTGTGTTATTAAGGAAAGTAAGGGGAGAGAGTGTGGGGTGTTCTTCAAAAGTCCATTGTAGTCTCCACAGTCTTGAGCAGGTTAAGCTTCAGGTGGTTCTGACTACACAAGTGGACCAGCTGACCCACCTCCTGTATGTATGCAGACTCATTAATGTGCTGATCAGACCAGTGGTACTAGTGTCATCTGCAAAGTTCAGTAGTTTCACAGACGGGTCCGCTGAGGTGCAGTCATTTGTGTAAAGAGAGCAGTGGGGAGAGAATAAACCCTAGGGGGGTGCCAGTGCTGAAGATTCTTGTCCAGGAAAAGATGCTCCCATGCATCACCTGCTACTGTAGGTAAGTCAGGAAGCTGGCACTGTCCCCAAACAGATTCCTGGTGCAAATCCCTGAATAGTTGAGAAGGTACAGGACGAAGTGTAGGTTAACTGCATTATGTGCCAACGTATGTGCCCAGTAAGCAACAAAACTAGGTAGTCCAGCAGGGGGCCTGTGATGACTTTAGATGATTCAAGACAAGTTGCTCAAAGCATTTTATGACCACATACATCAGTGTGACAATCCTGCAATCATTTAATCCCGTGGTGGTGTGTCTCTTGGGGACCAGGAGGCTTGTGAAATGTTTGAAGCAAAAGGAAACTTCACACAGCTCCAAAGACAGGTCCTGTATCTAACGATAGTTCAATAGTTAAATGCGATTTCATTAATACTGTACTTTTCATTAAGGAAATCTCATAGTGCCACAAGATTAAAGTAATTAAAAAGCCCAATAAACTAAAAGCTCAGTGATCAGCAGGAAAAGCCTCCTGAAAAAGGAAAGTTTAAGGCTTTTTTTTTTTTTTGCTGCCAGTGTGTGCGGAGCTCTCAGGTGGTCGGGAAGGGAGTTCCAAAGATGAAGGGCAGCTGAACAGAAGGCCCGGTCACCCATTGTTTGTGACAAAGTACAAGGCAGATGGATGAGATTGGTGTTATGTAAGCGGAGGAAGCAGGGCGATGAATGGGTGGGAGGAGGTCCTTTAAGTATTCAGGAGCATTGCCATGAATACACTGGTGGAGGAGCCAGTGAAGTTTATGGAGAATTGGGGTGATATGTTCCATTCTGCAAACTTTCATAAAGATTTTTGGAGCACAGTTCTGGATGTATTGCAATGTCAGATGTAAGCTTTTATATTTTCTTTGCAGGAATCCCTATGAGCAAGGCATTACAAAGATCGAACCCAAAGGAGACAGAGGCCTGGAGCTGTTTTTCAGCGTCATTGAGAGAAAAGTGGAGTTTGGAGATTTTTTAGGGTGGAAGAAACAGCTTTTAAACAGATGATTGATGTGATTTTCAAATGAGAGATAAGGGTCCAGTCTCACACCAAGGTTTGTCATTTTTGTAGAGAGAGTGAGAGAAGGAGATGGTGCTTATGGAAGATGATCAAACCCGATTAGAAGTGCCAACCACTATGGCTTTGGTTTTGGCTGTGTTTAACTGGAGCAAGTTATGATTCATTCATTTTTATTTCCCCAAGCAGGCGGTGAGGGTAGAAGATGGAGACAAAGCTGAAGAAGTAGGGGGGTTTGAATCTGTTCCTAAATAGAGTTGAGTGTCATCAGCAGAACAATGGAGGGATATCCCATGACGACTGATTTCACAGCCCAGAGAAAGCAGGTACAGTATGAAATTAAAAGAAGCGGCCCAACCACAGACCCTGGTAGGACACCACAAGTTACATGGGCTGTTCAGCATTTCCAAGGCTGACTGTGCATCAAGGAAGGATTTAGCATAAGAATTTTGGTGGTCTAGCCAACTTATGAAATGAGAGGCCAGAAGACCGAAGGCGCAATACCTAAGGCCAACAGTCTTTATTTTGCACAGCTCACAGGTGTACCAGGGTGCTGAGTGTGAGAAGGACATCAGGCTTGATTTTAGAGGGGTAAGATGATCCAGGAGGCAGACCGTTGAATGGCTCGCAAAATCCATAATATATAGGTGGAGAGGACTTGATGTTTGATTGATGTTTTCAATATTATGGAAATAGATTTGACGTTTAAGATTTTGGAGGACAAACAGGAAACTTCAAAAGAAATCACAATGTAATCTGGGACTCCCAAATCATACAATAGAAGATTGTTGATAGATCCAGATTCAGAAATAACAATGTCCAAAGTGTGCCCCCTGGTGTGTGGGGGGACAGAAACATGAAGCTTAAGGATGAGAGTCCAGTATTTGAACAAAATCTGCTGTCAGGCGAGAGAAAGGATTATCAGCATGGATGACCAAGTACAAGATTTTTAACAGAGGAGGTGCATCGTGAGGAAAAAAAAGACTGGATGTGGTTTGGGAGGTCTGTAAATAAGTACAATGTTCTTCTGAGGAGGGTGTTTAGAACTGAATTCCAAACATCCAAAAGATAAAAAGTCTGGGAGACTTGGAGGTCACAGTTTAAATTCATTTTGATAAATTATTGCCAGACCACCTCCACAACTTATCACTGTAGCTTCTCATAGCTGCCCCAATCTTCTTGATCAGTTTGTTCCTGGCCTGCTTGTACAGGGCCACATTTGCGGAAGTTGTGTCGGACCAAGGAAGAGGCTTACAGCACTGTGCTGTAAGCCTCTTCCTTGGTCCGACACAACTTCCTCAGATGTGAAGTGAACCATTGCATATTGTTGATGTATTTTTGCGAAAAGTATTAGGCCTTGTCCACACGTAGGCAGAAATCTGAGAAAACAAATAACTTTTTATGCGGTTTGGCCTTTTCATCCACACATAAACTCTGTTTTGAATCACTAAAAATGAATACTTATGAAAGCTTTGGCCAAAGTGGAGATTTTTGAGCCTGCATGTGTCCATGATCAGACTGACTTTTATTGTTCAGTGCATCACTGTCTGTGACAAATATTGCAGCGCTGACGTCAAATGTGCGACCATTGTTTATAGACTCGGCCATACAGTGGAGTAAAAATGAATGACACGATTCCCAATCAACTCTTGTGTTTTATCAGTTTTATATTCTAAAACCGTGTTTAAAAGAAGTTCATCTTCTTTTCTGTCCACACAAACAAACGTCCTGGCACCATGTTTTATACCTAACAGGAAGTCTTGATTGTTTTGAAGGATTCTGATTGGCTGACATATGTTTCATTTTTGCAGTACACTGCCCCCTATGCGTCTGGAGTGTTTAACAAAACACTCAGTGGCGTATTTCTGCAGGTTGGTGTGGATGAAAATGTTTCTGAAAAACCTCACGCGTGTACAATATTATATATTATAATGTTATATAATATATATTTTTTAATTATAAGATAAACATTGTACTCGTACTCATACTCTTCCGCTTCATCCGGGACCAGGTCACCGGGGCTGCAGACTCAGTAGAGATGCCCAGACTTCCCTCTCCCCAGACACCACCTCCAGCTCCTCCGGGGGGA